TTTTTGCCTACGTCACAGCAGTCACTAGTTCTACGAAAGTCACCATTGCCTGAAGCTACTCTGATGATAATTATTTAAGGAATTCGAAAACTTAGACTATATTTCTAGTACTTTTCTTCCGAAGTGAACGTCGGACAATTTCTGACGGAATTTCCTCTTTATCTCAAAGGATTGTTCGTAATTTTGAAAAGTTCATCAGTAAAATCAAACGATACAAAACGTTAGCACTTTTGAATAATATTAAAAAAAAAACAGCCAGTTGCTGATATTCCCTGATGAGTAGACGGAAAGATTGGTGTAAAATCCGTCTATGAAACTCTGGAGTCGAGATACTGAAGGTAACAGCAATCAGTTAAGTCACAAAATTTATATTAATCCTACATATATATGAAAATTTGCGTCCAGGCTCTTAGAAATATATAGCGCCATTCTTGGTAGATTTTCTTTTGCCACAATGTGGGATTGGCAGGGACAAAAGTGATGGCGATAAAAAAGAAGTATGCAGATGAATATGGCTGGATTGAAAAAAATATTCTTTCAAAACAAAAAATTCTATCAAAAAAAAATTTTCTTTCAAAAATATTCTTTCAGAAATGTTTAAACTAACTGCGTCTCTCGTTTCGTGCGCATGTGCAGACGTGACAACATCAACAAAGCTCAGCTAAAGCTAATTACTCTTTGTTGATATATAAAATTAAACAAAATTATATATATATATGCATAAAAGAGTGAACTCTGAGAACAACATCATGTAGAGACAGTGTTTCATGCTTCAGTACAATATTCGGTCCATGTCAGTCATGCTAATCATGGCCTGAAGATTCTGTTCAAGCAAGAAACAGTGTTAACCTTAGTTATATATTATGGCAGGTTGATTTTTAACTTTTTATAAAATATCAACAGCGCACTCGATGCGAAAGCCGGGGTTTTATGTGATAGCTAGTGCCAGAAAAAATAGATTTATAGCTCTTATCAACTTTTGAGCATTTAGTTTTCAAGATCATCTGAAAAATTTATAGAAATACCTAATTTCCGTAGGTTTTTGCTTACAAACTGACTTGAAAATTTTACTATTTCAAGAATAAATTCAAATAATGTTGAAATCTTTTGTATTAGATAGATTGAATGAAAAATACTTTCAAAGCAGAATCTTAATTATGAATCACCACAAACAAAATATACATTTTGTACTGTATTTGATGAGTAAAAACTATGTAAAAAATTGTAAAAGATTACAAAAATGGCTACTCAATGAATAAGTTTTGTTAGATCATTTGTTAGATCATAATTAATAAAAACAAAGATTAAACAAAAGTGTATATAACACCTATTATCTTACTTATTATAAAACGCAGATAGTGTGTGTGTGTGTGTGTGTCTGTACGTTTATATATTGGATCGGATTTTCTAGATTTTTCAACCGATTTCAACAAAACTTCACAGGACTACGGAAAATTGACTTGCGGTGGTTCTGACAGCGTCAAAAATCGGAAAAACACAATTGTTTTTGCACAAAATCAATTTGAAAACACGATTAAGAGGCATTAATGCAAGGGAGACAACTCATATCGAGTTATACTTATTAATATCGAGTTATACTTATTATAAAAGCTAGGTTGTTGTGTGTGTGTGTGTGTGTGTGTGTGTTCGTTTATATATGGGATCGGATTTCCTACATTTTTCAACCGATTTCAACAAAACTTCACTTTTTTTTGGCAGATAGTGTTTCTTATTGACTTGCACACTTTTTTCTTTATTTCTGCATTCAGAATGCTTTAAAAATTCCATTTACAAGACAATTGCTTATAATAAAATTCTATTCAATCGGTAGACTCATATCGACAATGTTTTTGTTTGAGTTTGGGTTTGACCATTTCTTAAAAAAAACAAAAACAAAAAAAAACAAACAAAAAAACTAATTAAGACATGCGTGTCCGTCAACCTTAAACAATAATCTTTGTCAATTTTATTTTTCAGTCTTTATGATGGTTGATACTTGATCTATCTCTTACTGTGACATCCCGGGGCAACGCCGGGCTCTACTGCTAGTATTATAATATTGTTGAACACCTATTATAAAACAAAATGTTTTAAAACTGCATTGTTTATTTAAATTCTCAATAAAACTCCTGCACTCAGTATCATATATCGTACTATGCACCATACTATAAGTAAACTGTTTGATATACATCATATTATAGTTAAACTGTTTGGTGTAATTTCCCTTTGAAGTAAATGAAGGTTTTATTTAATGCCGAAATGATTTAATAATGTCCTCGTGCCATGCATCTTGTCCATATACAATATGTAAAACTTCAGTAAATTATAAATTTTATCCGGCTGTGCTATTAGGATTTCGCTGATTACTGGAATGAAATTCCAACGCTACGATTTTGAATCTAAACTTAATCTTTAAATTTGTCTCTTCAAAAAACAGTAAACAATGAGTGGACGTATTTTACGTCATTATTTATGATGGCTAATCCCAACTTTCAAATTGTGTGTAATACGACGGTTCGAAAATCGACCTGTCTTATTGAAACCTCCACAAAGTTTAGTCGCAAGGACTGATAAAATCCAGTCTTATTCGTTATGTTCCCTTTCGAAACAAATACTCTTGGAAAATGTAGGAAACTATCCCCCGCTCTCTCTCTCTCCCAAACCATGGGTTAAATAACTGAGTAAACTGGGTTCTCTAGCTTTCGGTGGCAACCGATATAGGAGTAGAACAAAATCAATAACATCTTAAAAATCCTCCCACTTCTCTTGGACATGAGTAGAGGCTTACGCCTTGTTTCTTGCTTAGGAAGGGGTTCCCGGTACTCTCTCTCTCACTGGCCTCTGTATCTCCAGTTGCCTTGATCTATCCACTACCCTTCTCCTCATCCTTCCTTCTATCACTCCTATCTGATCTGCTCCAAATTTTCTGTAACCTTGCGTCCTAGTGGCTTTTCGCCTTGCTTGGGGTGAAACGCTTAAAAAAAAAGGGATCAGCTACGTGTGTCTATCTTGCTATAGACACAACGCTTGCTACGACTGCAGTATATGCAGACTTACGACCATAATGGTTTACGGAACTAACACTCCAGAATCGTCTGCTTATATCGAAAATGTTTGGAAAATTGTTATTCACCTGCTATAATACGATAAAAAAAAAAAAAAAAAAACATTTTTGGGACACTATTTTTGTACGTTTCGACATTACCTGAAGTACTACTTGAAAGTGCTTACACCTCAGGCCAAAACAATTCTATTTTCAGAGAAATTCTGGTTTAGGGCGCCATTTTCTGATTTACAGAATTAATGCGAATGCTTCGACGTGATCTCTGTCTTGTCTTGTGAGTAGAACATTTGATCAATGAGGAAGTTTAAGGGAAAATGAGAATAAAAAATGACTTAGAAAGACTCAGAAAGAAAAATTCCAAATATTCAGTGCCATAATCAGGAAAGAAGGAATTTAACATTCCCAGTACATAAGGAAGGCAAGATGGAAATGGTGTACAAATGAAGAAACAAGTTCATGGATGCCAAAGCAAGGATTAGGTAGGATGCTAACATTGCTTAGAACTACAAAAAGCTGGAAGCTGTGAAGAGCTATGATCACCTACATTCTGAAGGAACATCTCCATCTATAAAATGCAGGATGTGTGTGTGTGTATGTGTAACGAACGCACAGCCGTAATTTTCGACGGATTTGCACCACAGTTTTACATGCACATGCTCCATGTTAGCGGGAATGGCAAGACCGACTTTGCATTTCCCAACTCCCATCGATAGTGGAAATAATCGATTTTTCCATGCTTCTACGGCAGTGTTCATGTAGTTTGCGCCCATTTTCTACTGGCCAGAGTGAGAGCCTATATCTGGCTGCCATGAATAGGCAGGAAGATTCTATTGGCCAGCGTGAGAGCCAATAGCTGACTGACACGAAAGTTAACAAGCATGCTAGCATGCAAAAAAAATCGATAGCTGCATTCGTCACAAGTGGGAAAAATTTAAATCTGCATGGCACTTTACTCCAATTGACTCATACGCTTGCTTAAACTCAACGTTGATTCTGATTCCACAGAACTGGGTTGGGTATGAAAAAGTATTTGTTGTTAACATTTTTTTTTCATTCGGTTTTTCCAGTTACGAGTCCTTTTTTAAAGCTGATCGTTTGGTGTTCATTTTGTTTAGTTCTTTTTTTTTGTAACAGATTTAATGTTTAGTATAGAGCTTAGAAAAATTCACAGTGTGAGATAGGCAAGAAGTAAGGCATGTAGCAACATCAGCACGGCAAAGGGCACTCCTTTAAAGGCAAGGAAGGGCAAAAAGATTTTAAGTCAAGTGATAGTGATTGCTGTATGAGTCGTACGATTTTTGAATCAAGCACGGGCAACGCCGGTCCATGCTGCTAGTATGCGTATATTATTAAAAGCCTTCATTCTTTACGATATTAGTACATTTACGTGGATTATTTTTTTTTATAGAGGAGTTTTACAAATTTAATAGCAATATGAAATGGTGACAGATTTTTAAACTTGAATACATGTACATATAATTTGTTTTGATTCATAACTAGTATTCAAATTAGGTACTTCGACGTGCTGTAATGGTTAGCAAGAATATCTTGCTAGATCAATTACGATTGCATAGTGAGTTCGATCCTCGCTAGGTACCCCATACATCTAAGCTACGCTTAGAAAACACCATAATTAATTATCAAAATTAGGCACATTTCAAACACTCGCATTAAATTCCAGACAAAACGAAAGATTAAAATAGAAGACAAAAGATAAAGGAATAAATCTGGAAATTTACAAAAAAAAAAAAAAAAAAGAAGATATTATTTGGAGCTCTATAGCATCTTAAATTTGGCGGGAAAAATCCCCACATCCACTGCCTATCACATCTCTCGGGATCTTATTCTTCTATGTTCTACGTTCCCTTAGGGCGTGGGTGATCATGGTCTCCACAACATCTTTTGGTCCTTAACAACCTTTCTCACACTGCTAAGTTTACGGTCAAATCACCTTGAAAACACCGGTTTTCGGAGGATCACCGAAGTTAAGCAGTGTCGACTCCGGCCAGTATTTAGATGGGGAACCGCTTGGGAACATCGGATACTCTAAGTGACCACCCACAATCTGAAATGTTTTTTTCGCTATAAATAACTTACAAAGGTCTGATAAACCGTAAAAGAAACAAATCAACCAACCAATCAATCCCTTTCCACGGCCTCCCGCCTGCCAGGAATAAAATTGATACTGGACGGTGTGTAATATATATATATATATATATATATATATATATATATATATATTCATTTCTGTAGTTTACTGCTACCAGCAAGCAGAAATATTTCTTCTCCTGATGATGGCCATTTTGGCCGAAACTAGTCGAGGAATCTAAACGAAATAATAATAATAAAAAAAAAAAAAAAAAAACGAAGAATATTAATCTACAACCCAGTGTGTCTGAAGATTTTAATTTTTAATATTTTTTATTGTTCAGTATATATATATATATATATATATATATATATATATATATATATATATATATATATATATATATATATATATATATATATATATATATAAATAAATAAATAAATATATATATATATATATATATATATATATATATATATATATATATATATATATATATATTTTACAATTCAAGGGTGGTTTCTCCGAATTTCATTAATAAAACATTTTTAATAAATATCTTTTCATGTTAGTAGAAAAGAAATAATAAACTGAAGCAATTTTAACAATGTCAAGCTTGCCATAGTTTGTGAATTTGTTGTTTCTGGCTGGATGATCAAAGTAACTGTTTATTTTGAAAAAAAAAAGTGGGGGGTGAAAATAGGCGAAGATCGCCATACTGTTAGCAACTAATGACATTTCAGGAAGGTAACTCGTCCATTGTTCTAAGAATAAATATAGGGCGTGTCTGGTATAAAGAGAGCGTCATAAAAAAGGAACGAGAGTATAAAAGAAACATTTCTAAAAAAGGAACGAGAGTATAAAAGAAACATTTCTAAACAAAGTGACAAAGATAAGGACAGCTTACAAAACATATGCAAGTTAAATACAAAAGGACAAAAGTTGTACAAACAGGAGTACGTTTTCGTATTGGTGTCAGTTATGTCAGCCCAAGTTAGAGAGAGGGTAGAGAGAGAGAGAGAGATGAAGATATAGAGATAAAGGAAGATAAGAGATGGGAAGAGAGAGGAGGTTCAAGAGAAAAAGAAGAGTAAGAGGTAGAAAAAGAAAGAAACAGAGAAGTGCATTTAGAGGCGCAAGAGAAAAAAAATGAAGATAGCGACAATAGAAAAGAAAGAAAGAAAGAAAGAAAGAAAGAAAGAAAGAAAGAAAGAAAGAAAGAAAGAAAAAGAAGGAAGAGGAGAGAAAGAGAGTCAAATGAAAAAGAAAGGAAGTGATATAAGAAGAGGCAGGGAAAAGAAAGAAAGAAAGAAAGAAAGAAAGAAAGAAAGAAAGAAAGAAAGAAAGAAAGAAAGAAAAAGGAACATGAGAGAAAGAGAGTCAAATGAAAAAGAAAGGAAGTGATATAAGGAGAGACAGAGACAGGGAAAAGAAAGAAAGAAAGAAAGAAAGACTAGATTAAATAGAAAGACGAGAGATAAAAAGGGACAAATGAGAGAAAATGAGAAAAAGAACAGAGTTGTAACAAAGAGAGAAAGAGGGAGAAAATGAGACAAATGGAAACGAGATATGCAGAAAAAGAGCAAGGGATGAAAGAGAGAGAGAGAGAGAGAGAGAGAGAGAGGAGGAGGAGAAAGAGATAAGAGAAGAACATATTCACGTGAGCTTAAGCAAGCGAAAAGTGAAGAAAGACAGACAGACAGGAACAACACATAGAGAGTTCTTCTCTACTCTTTGTTTTTCCGAACAAAAGAAGTAAACACACACACACACACACACACACACACACACACACACACACACACACACACACACACAAAGAGAGAGAGAGAGAGAGAGAGAACCACACGAGAAGATAAAGAAAGAGAGAAAGGACCAAGAATGGGGGAGAGAAAGTGAAAGAGAGAAGCAAGATTAAGGAAGCAACAGAAGAGAAAAGAAAAGAAAATATAGATAGATAGATAGATAGATGCATATTTAATTTTCAGTCTGATTAATAACTAAATATGAAGTTGTTTGAAGAAACGAAAACAGACGGTTAGATAGCTATATAGATAGATAATAAATATATAGATAGATAGATAGATAGATAGATAGATAGATAAAAACAATAAAAAAAAATTAAAAAAGTAAAAAATATAAGACTACGATAAAGAGTGAGAGATAAACCCGTGCAAAAAAGAAAGAAAGTGGCGTGATATAAAGAAAAGAAGAGAGAAAATTCAAAAGAGAGTAAAATATAAAGGAAGCCAGAGAGAGAGAGAGAGAGAGAGAAAGAGAGAGAGAGTGGGAGATGAACGAATCAGAGAGGGGTATACAGAGATAAGAGAAAGAGAATCAGTGA